AGCGTCGTAAGTGAAGCGATATGATTATCAGATTAGTCATCGACTTCTGTGTAGTAGCTTCCTTGTACCAGGTGTGCTGATGCATTCTCGATGCTCCAAGGTGTTCATGATGAAAAGTCCGTTATTGCGCAGAAGAGCAACTTCATGCTTTACCGTTGATGCCGTTAGTTCCGTTCTTTCCACCATCGTCTTACCACTTCTCAGCGTCTACTTTGACGTTTGTGTTAAAATTGCCCATGAATATGAGGGTCCCTGTATTCGGCGCTTCGGGTAGAGCGCACTCCTCTTTCTCAAGGAAGGAATCATATTCTGCCTCTAAATTGAGCGCTTAGACCTGTAACATGGCCAGCGCTTTAGACTGTTATAGTATCAGTCAGAGGATTGTCTCCATTCCTCTGACAGGCTTCCAGTCAATGATTCTATCAGCAAGTTTGGGTTCCACCAGAACACCAACACTGGTGTGAGCGCGAGTCGTGGTATCGATACCTGAGTGAATTACTTCCATCCATTGAGGTTCAGGAGTCCAGAGCCTTGGCGTTTCGTTAACGAGAGTCCAACAATATCGAATTGGTACTTTATGGCCTCATCAACTAACTCTTGTTCTTTTCCTCTGAGTGAGGATATGTCCCAGTTTCCGACTTTTAGCTCCCACTGGCGGTGTCTTTCTCGTGGGCCCTTTTCTCACGTGCTACAATGGCATCGCACTGTGTGCCTCCTCCGTTCAGAACAGGTAGCGACTCCGTACCTGTCTGGTATCTTCGTCGTCATTCCGTAGGTCTTCGTCAGCCGTTGATGTGCTGCTGCAGCCCCGGCTACCAGAGGGCAATGAGCAGGTTCTGATCGCTGACTTGTCGCAGTCTGCCTCAGTCCCCCAACAGCTTGCGAGGTCCTTGATTACCCGGGCGACGACCGAGCCGGTATGATTTTCGATGGCGTCAATACCATGAGTGGCAGGTGGCTAAATTTACGGAGACTTGCCACGGTTTCCAACCCTCCTCCTTTCTCATTGGGGCTTCGAACCGGCAACGGCGGAGTTATGACTGTACTTTTTGACATTTATTTCTGTTTTGTTTTATGTCTTCTTTTATGCTGTTTTATGTCTCTGGGGCCTCCTATCCCAATTTTGTTTCAGAAATGAAGCTTCTTACCTTGAGTGTTTCGTTACAGCTGCCGACTGATGCTCGACTGTTGGTAGGGAATCATTTTTTCTAGACGTCTAGATGGAATAAGCTTAGTTGTTCGACGTTGGGGCCTAAACAACGTTATGCGTTTAATCGTGTTCACGTATTATAGAGCGGAAAACAGCCATATTGCGATGTAGTATATCAAAACGAAGTGCGGCGTAATTAGCTCATTTAACTAATCAGAGAAATCGAAGGCTTAGGGCTTTTCTTTCGTCTTTGGGATGGATTTGTCAGTACTTTTTTCGACAGAAAAATTAAGGCTACGTGCGTTATATAAGCTTCACTGTAGTACGGTAAAGTATAAGCGATAACTGTGTCTACAATCGTTAAACACGAGTACTTCGGAACTTTATAGACTGAAAAAGGCTAACAAAGCGAAAAAGTTAACGCGAATATTTCGATACCGCCCCGTTGTATTCGGCCTACACACTATGTGGATCAGTCAACACTCCTTGCTCTTGAACATTGACATCGTCAAGAACTTACTGCTTATGTGACTTATGCAAGGGCATTGTTGTTCATGTTCGGATCACCTCAGCTTTTCCAGAACGTTTTGTCGCTTTCTCGGGAGTAAGATATACGGCATGTTCGCCCCTCCAATCTCAGGTTCATTTCCACGAATTTTAAGTGCCGAGTAACATTTCGTCCCTCGTCCGTTATCCAGAGTTCTTTCCGTTCATTTTCTCAGCTTTTAATAATCTTTTGAACGAACTGGGACCGATGATCTCTTGCCAGAAGATGAATGTACACACTTTTGTTAAGGGCGCCACCAGTGTTGAAGTAGAAGCAGTACAGTTTAATACGTGGAACAATTCCGCTACATCTGCCACTCGCAGGACTTATCATTGCGCTACAGCCTCGATGTCATTATTACCTCGGTATCGCCGTTTCGACCTTGAATATTTTATCTGATTTTCGAGCACTCCATCGCTTTGTATAAGAATAGGGATCAGGTTGCCTCCTCGGCGTTTTGTTAAGGACCTGAGATTAGATGCTGCAAAAGGTGAATATCAGAAACCTTTGCGTCTATCACGCAAAGAAGCAGAGACGGTTCCTCAGCGTTCAGTACTTGATTTTATCCAAAAGGAGACCGTCATCGCACTCAGTAAATTATTGTCCGTCACTGACGTAATCGACGTTCACAGACCTACATGGTCACCACGTGGCGAGCTACTGATGGAAATTCATTCCAATAGTGTGTACGTAGTCACTTTAAACATTCGCAACGGAGTCTTGCTCAGACTTTCCTTGTGGTGATTCATAAGTAGACTGCAAAGTTCATGAAAAAGTCAGGTTGCTCTGGATTCTACAATCCGTTTTCGACCATCGCCACCCTGCCATCACCAGAGTCTGTAGTTAGTTTGCAAACAGCGCCTACTGCGGAGCAGCCCGATACTACTGATGGCCAGCCTTCTGTTTAATACATGAAGGGTTCGATCATGCAGCCTGTTCTCGACAGCAGATGACGTTTGTATCATACTGAATTGTTCCCAACAAATTTTACTCCATAGTTTGAACACGTTAAACTGAGGTTCATCTGACTGGTATATCTAAGTGCATTCAACATATCACCTGATTCTGTCTGACAGAAATTGATGAGGGGTCATGTTGTTGCGTGCTGTGGAGCAGCGGCGGCAGTGAAAACAAACTTTGACTACATTCTTTATTTTCCATTTCTTTCATTATTTTTTATAGTAATACTATTCGTTTGGCCATACGTAAATTAACATACGCGCCATACGAAAGCAGTCGGCCGCAGCCTCACGTTGAAGTCAGCCGGGAGTTCATAATGAGTTCAGGAATGCTCCACATGGAAGCTTCCCTTGACAAAGAAGTAAGTTCTCACGTGAATTCTGTTCTTCCCTGAGGTACGGATTTTACATTCTACTGTCATATGATTGATCATTTGGCTTGTCGTTGATTGTCTTACCCGACACAGCGGAATAAATTGTTTAATAAACAGGAATTAATACGGTTGATTTTTTGAGATAATATAACTATGTTGTTTCATGTTTATAAACCATTTGCTTTGAAACTTTTACTGTATTCACACTGTTTAGCGCTTTGCTGAAATTTTTTGCTGTACTGTTCGTTAATGGTTATACGGTATTTCTAACCAGTTGAAGCTTTTTCTTTTTGTTACAGATATGTAACAGTATAGTATCTTTATAGTATTAGCCTACAGTCACTTTAATTAGGCAGCAACAGCAGTCCTCTTCACTCATTTCTATTCGCTCGGTGAGGCCTCTGCGAACATGGTCGCTTGTTCAGTGTGCGACATCAGCTCACATGGAATTTTGTTCAAATCAGTGAGTCTTTTCAGGTCAGCGACGTACAGTAGGAAATCGAAGGACTCTGAGAGCCGGCCTTTCGGACCTCCGCGACATGGTCTGTCATCAAAGCAAATATTGATTTTCTTGTCGATCGATTTTTGTCTTCATTGTCCCGAACTTCGTTCTTTTGAGGCTTATTCAGTCTGGAAAAAATTACGAAACAGACAACAAGAAAGCAAAGCTGCAACCCTTAAGTGATTAGTTATTTATTTATGTTGTAGTATACTGATTTTTCTTATTTTATAATTGTTACTGTGCATGTTTTTCTTGCGGCTATTAAGTTGCTTGTCATGGTTAAGCGCAAGAGTTTTAATTACGAAGCCCTTAGGCATTTTTAACGAATGTGACTAAGTTGAGGTTTAGACATTTAGGTGTTTAATTTTTGCATGTGAATGATTTTAAAAGTCTATGCCTTGAGCACTGCTCAGAATTTATTTTTCTTAGTAGATGTACTACCATGGTGAATCGATTGTTGTCAACGTGTATGTTCAAAACAACAGCAGCAAAAGCGTAAAGAAGATCAAGGTAGCTGTTGTGCAAATTGCGGACATTTGTTTGTTCATGACCGCATCGTACCAATGCGACGTCGCAAAGTTGGAAAGCGTGTAGCCGAAGTTCATCAAGTTAAACGACTTACCGTCATGAATGTCTTTCGTTTTAGGGAAGGCTTTCCGATTAGCCCCGGCGGAACCCTGTCAAAGGTGTATTCGCTATGTCCCCTTTTAGCAAATAACCGAGACAAACGAGGCTTAGCGCTTGATGGAAAACTGAAGCATGAAGACACGAATCTGGCTTCATCTACAATGTGAGTTTTCAGTTTTGATGATCATTGTCGACATCACGTATGCTGGGCGACTACCAAATAAGTCAGTTGCATAGCGCAGCGAGAAATGGTAGACTGTCTTCGTAGCTTTCATCGCTGTTGAAGACCTCTGGTCTGTTATAAACTGGATATAGCCGCCCAAAGAAGCGGATCTGCTCATAGCTGTAGAATGAAACGTGACTTGCAGCCAACTCAAATAATACCGATTCAGCGCCCGTCTAAAGAGAACATAATTGCATATTACTCGCTAAATAGAGCATGACCTACACAGGAGCATTGTTCTGTGACGAGTTCGTGGTTGAATTATTATTCTGCTGCAATCTATTTTCCTAATTTTTCATAAGTTTCTCTGACCTAAAAGAAGAGGGATGTTTTGAAATCTCGGTCTTCCTTTCACTTGCGTGATTACCACGCTGTTGTTCATGCACTCTTATTTAGTACAGATTATGATTATTGGTTGATCTCCATTTCGATGCCATCAGCCTGGACTGCTTAATTTTTTAAAAGTATTATGTAAAGCGGTTATAGTGGATAGTCACTACAGCAGTACTCATTTGTCTACCTTTAAGTAGTCTGAGGAGGTTGCGGTTAGAATTCGACGCTTGTGTTCCCTCGACTTTGCATGTTGCTGTCTGCCGATTGAGCTATCTTGAAAGCTAATTCTGCCTCAAGTTTCTTATGAATGCGTTACAATTTAGAGCTTAATTATCATATGCTTTCGTCCTTTCGTCTATTCATATCGGACGTTAAACATCCTACAGTGCTGATGTTCAAGTGTTTCTTTGCCTTTCGATCTATTTGATGGCTTTCCCTGTCGTCATCGTAGAGCATGGTTTGTATTGAAATGCTCCGTCCAGTTTAACAGTTTCTGAATAAGTTAACTTGGAAAAAATCCATGGCCTGGTCAACATTTTTACTATCAGCTCTGTTTCGTGCCCGCAACCATGGATTAAGAAATTAGATACTGGTCTACATTGTTGAAGGCATTCTCTCTTCTACATTTTCCTCCTGATCGGGCTTGAAAAAAATACAGACATATCCATCTAGTACAGAGATGCAGTTCAGGATATCCATTGAATATCTTCTTGAACTGGAGTGCGCGGTTTTTCTTACTAAGGAGCAAGAGTGGAAACAAGATTCCCTGCCTCACGGCTTCCGTATGCACCAGCTGCAAAAGTCGGTCATTTCTGCAAAAGTTGCTCACCGGGCAGAACAGATAGGCCAGTGCATCTGGAAGGTGAAGCAGTAAAGGAGTCAAACCAGTTCAGACACCCT